ACACAATGATAAGTTTTGTTATTGGTAATATTTCGAGCAAAATTACTGCCCGTGTTCACACCACTGTTGGAATTGTTTTATTCACACATTTATGATTTGTACTCATATATATAGTTCATTATTATTACTTTTTTGTTCATTCATGTTTTGTGTGTGCATATGTGTGTTCAGAATTATACTCCACATTCATTCATGTGTTTGTATTTAGAATTATATTCCAAGTTGTTGATAGTTGTACTGAATCATCCTTGTTACGTGTATCCGGTGTGACTTTAATGAATATCGATTCTGTTATGAGTCTTTCTTTCCATTTGTCCATGTTTGTTTTTAGAATACACACATTGTCCCAATCGATATTGTGGTTTGAAATTATGCCAAAATCCTGTAATGTACCTAGGATATATGGTAAGATAAAATTGCATAAAGAGGGATATCCAATAAGACCGATTGTAGACTTCAGAAACACACCAACGTATATGCTATCCAGATTTCTCTCGACAATACTAAGACCGACAAGAGACAACTCAAAAGCTAGAATAGTAGATTCATTTGAATTAGTGAGGCGAATAAAAACCACTAAAATAGAGGAGGAAGAAATACTAGTTAGCTTTGATGTAAACAGTCTTTATACGAAAATACCCATTCAAATGGCCATGATTGCACTGAAAGAGAAACTAAATGAAGATAATGGCCTGAAAGACAGAACACAGTTATCCGTAGAAGAAATAATAAAAGGGGTAGAATTCTGTCTGACAACAACATATTTCACATTCGAAGGAAAAATATACCAACAAAATGAGGGAGTAGCCATGGGATCGCCTATCTCACCAATTATAGCTGACATATTCATGGATTATTGGGAGGAGAATGCCCTTAAACCATTCAGATCATCACTAAAATGTTGGTGGAGATATGTAGACGGTACACTAGTAATAGTGAAAAAAAACGATACTGAGAAACTTTCCTCACACATAAACAGACACGTCGACTCAATAAAATTCACTATGGAATTAGAGAATGAAATTGGAGAACTGCCCATGTTAGATTGCAAACTACAAAGAATGACAGATGGTAGCATAAAAACAACGATATATAGAAAAGCCACACATTCTGGAAGATTCCTTGATTATTACTCAGCTCATCCACTCTCGGTAAAACGAGGATTAATACAAGGTCTTGCAGATAGAATACGTAGACTTACAACAGCACCAGAGGACCAGCGTAAAGAAATAAAAGTCCTATTCAAAATGCTACTCGAAAACAACTACCCTAGAGAATTTATAAAAGATAATATAAAAAAGAGAAAAAAGAGGGTAAAACCGGAGAATAACAAGAAGGAAGAATGGAGAAAAACAGTCGCAATACCATATAAAAATGGTACATCAGAGGCAATACAAAGAAACCTCAAAAATATCGGCATTCGAACAACCTTTAAACCGACAAATCTAATCAAAAATAAAATAAATCAACTGAAAGATCCCATAAAAATGATGGATAAAAACAATTTGATTTATAAAATATCTTGTGCTGACTGTCCAACTAAATATGTGGGGCAAACGTCCAGATCACTCAAAATAAGAGTGAATGAACATAAACGCCTAACTAAAGGTCAACCAACAGGGACACAAGCTTACAAAAATCTTGAAAAAAATTCATTGATAGCTGCACATGCATGGGACAAAAACCACAATATCGATTGGGACAATGTGTGTATTCTAAAAACAAACATGAACAAATGGAAAGAAAGACTCATAACAGAATCGATATTCATTAAAGTCACACCGGATACATGTAACAAGGGTGACTCAGTACAACTATCAACAACTTGGAATATAATTCTAAATACAAACACATGAATGAATGTGGAGTATAATTCTGAACACACATATGCACACACAAAACATGAATGAACAAAAAATAATAATAATGAACTATATATATGAGTACAAATCATAAATGTGTGAATAAAACAATTCCAACAGTGGTGTGAACACGGGCAGTAATTTTGCTCGAAATATTACCAATAACAAAACTTATCATTGTGTGTAAACTATTAAAATATATTTATACTTTATTTGATGACAGAAAACATTTTAAAAAGTACTTTTTTTATATGATCATTTTTAAATTTATGTACTCCCTTAGTAAAGGAAAGGGTTTTTCTGCACATTTTCTATGAAAAGTGAGAAAAAAAAAAATTTTTAGACCGACACTAAAGAGTGTAGGAGATCTGGACCTTGCAGACGATTTATATCTAGTATTAAGAAAAAGTGAAGATCTAGAGATCAGAGGAGGAAGGTAGTGAAAACAAAAGCTTCAAATGAACACAGAGAAGAGAAGGGTCATGAAGATTTCCAAACAACAGAAAGCACCAATCAATGCCAGCGAAAGAAATCTGAAATAGGTTACTCCTTTCACTAATCTAATCGGCATGGTTTCAAACAGAGGCGACATATCGAATGAAGATACCAAAGATGTGATATAAATTGCAAGCTAGGCCTTCATTTCTCTGAAATCAGTTTGAATATCTGCTCAACTCAGCATGGGGAACAACACTAATATCAAAACATTCAGCGCATCTATATGGCTGACAGAAATGTTACTGAGTGCTGCATTGGGTATCTCCAACAGGCCCTATGCTGAAGATCAGATGACTATGCAGAAAGAAGTAGCAACATGTAACTGTTGAAACGAACCATTTATGAACCTATTATTGAATAAATATGCCGAAAAAAATCTGAAATAGGCTAAGGAGACCGTTGAGTGACATCGCGCGGATGCCAGGCATACCCTTCAATGGGAGCCGAATGGAAAACAATGAGATAGGTGTTCGTGGGTCACGTGCACGAGGTGGAAATAGAAGACTATATGCAAACGTGGATCCAGTTAAAGAGGTTTACGGAGGGTAGGAAGAACCGAAGATGACCAGTTGAATCCCTGTTTTCTGTTCGAGACCCTAGGGAATAAAAATAATAACAGCACTCAGCATGAAAAATAAGATCCGGATTTTCAACTCCAATGTGAAGCCACTGCTACTATATTTTTTTATTTACAGCTTGATTCCACACTGTATTTTTGGTACAAGTATGGAATTTTCATCATGGATATCGGTGGCCCAAATTTTGCAGGCCGACCGTAGATATCAGGTGTGCGTCGGCGGGTGCTCGAACCCCGGACCATATGCATGGTCGGCTAGAGTCCTAACCACTGTGCCACCGACGCACACATACATATCAGAGACTTCGAACAGACTACAAACCTTCATGAATACTTGTCTTCGCTCAGTACTAAAAATCACATAGCCAGACAGAAACGATTAGCGACAGGGATCTCTGGCAGTGAGCGAACCAACCTATCAGGAACCGGTTGTGCAACAAATAAGTAGGATGAAATGCAGAAGGATTGGCCATACACTGAGGAAACCATCAAGTGATATCACTAGACAAGCCCTCGAGTGAAACCTGAAAGAGTAGCGGCGAGTTGGTCGTCCAAGGGTGACATGGAGGAGGTCATGTGAAGAGGAGGTGAAAGCGTGTGGGCAGATTTGGAGCCAGGTGAAACTTTAGGAGAGAACCGAACGCAATAGAGATGTGCAGCTGAAGCCCTATGTTCCATTCAGGAATTAAAGGAAATAATAATACTATATAATAATAATAATGAATTCCGTGTGTTCAAAGTAGAACAAAGGTTTTCAGCATCATTTCTATATTTCTACTCACCCCTCATCTCCATGAATAATCATAGACATTCCTCTATTCGCTACACGATATCTTTCGTGTCCGCAGCAGAAGCTCAACTTATCTTTTGCTCCCTGTTTTAATTCCACTGAAGTCTCTGCAGTATGATGCCGTCCAGTAGTCTCTTTAGTGTAGCATGTCTATTCCATCTGTGTCTCCCTCTCCATATTTGTTAGACAACAGAAAGTCAGTCAGCTGGTTCGTTGCAACAACCAGCTATAGCTTAACAAATATTTAGCATAATTTCCGATAACATTCATATAGTTACACAGCTTGTAAGGATTAGTATATGAAAATCAATTTTTGAACATAGATGACCGTTTTGTGATTTTCGATCTACTGACCCTTGAAAAAGATGATAACAAAAGAAGGATACAATTATTGTCATTTATTTAATACCTTATATATTTCTTTTTATGTATATACTAATGACCTCAGAAGTGATTATTTAAAGTTTATTAAGTAGGTGCAGAACAATTTCCATGAAATCCGGTCACAAGCTGTCGGTGGAGAGAGGGAGACGGGTGATAAGCTAACGCGATGAGTTAACTACTTCTAAATGTCATACCTTATTCCCATGCTGTCAAGCGTGAAAGCAGATGAATTACAATAGGATCAGTTACACACAAAATTCAAATTTTCATGTCTTGTGTATGTATGTAGGTCGTGAAAGCATTCATGTCATGCAAATATTGAAGTCAATATCCTTTTCTCTCTTTTTCTTTTTCATTTTAATAACTTCGAAAAACAAAACAAAAATAAACAAGAAAACACTTTTTTCAGCCCTGAAGGAAGAAAATGTGAACCCAGCTTGAAAAGATGATTTATTTGTGTAACTAATAATAACTGAAATATAAGGAATTAAGGTGAAAATTTGTTTAAATGAATGTGGATAGGAAAATGCTGCATGACATTGTTGTTTCACAGGTCAAGCGGGAAAATCAAATTTTTTAAACAACACATTATTTAAAGATGCAACATCTTAAATCCTGCATTCTACCTACAGTGCACTCTTTATTACTTATAAGTAATATTGAACACGAAGAAAATAACTAAAGCAGGCAGTTTTGAAAATGGCCACTTGATAAATGATATGAGGAAATATTGAATTCATTTTGAAGGAAGATTAGCAATCGTTCAAAGTCATTGACACGGAAGGCAAGAATGAATAAAGTTCAACTTGTAATTAAAAAAATAAATCAATGCATATTGTCTTACATTGTTCTCGTTTTTGTCTTATGGTATCTGACCTTTGCATTTTAGATAATGATTCGATTGTGATGTTGAAGAAAATTGGGTAAATGGAGATTTGCAGATTTCCCACGGAGACTCGAATCCAGTGTCTATCGTTTCAAACACCAAAACAAGTTTATCCATTAGACCATTTGAGTTACAGGAGATACCATCAATCAATTGGGAGGTCGGAATTGAATTAAAAACAAATAATTCAGTTATTACATTCAACAGTAAAACTTATTTTTCGTCAAAATCTACGGTTTCAGGGTTGATGGTGTATCGTTGACTCAACTAACTGACATTGTTGTTGATAGGCATTTCATTTGCAGCAAGCAACTGTCTGAAATGTCTGGTAGGGTAATTTCTGTGAAATAAAAATGTCATATTGTCTGATAATCAACATCCTCTCTGTTATTAGTTGCCAGTTCCTCCCTGTACCTCTTCGGTGGATTACCAAAGTCTGGTCACTAAACAAAGATTCAGGACATCACTAAACAGAACTTACTATGATACTTTTTTTCATTGATAAAACAAGATCAATGTTGTCTTGTAAACCCTCAATGCCTCCGAACGATAGTGTCACATCCTCCTGTGTTTACCAATTTAGATATATATGTTTGACCACACGTACATAGGGAGGACCGATCAGTCTCTGCGGGTTGGGGTTATAGAACAAATCCAAAAATGATTGCAGGAACATTTTGAATCACCGGATACATTCGATCCCGGAAAACGATGTCAAACATCATCTGTAAGAAAGTAAACAAGGTCGACTTCAATAATGCCTTCAAACCCATATATAAAACAAGTTTGGGTCATGTACTTGAATTCCTTGAAGGTCTGGCCGTAAAAGGGATTAAATCTGATAAAGAATAATTATATTTCAATAGTTTACACGCAATGATAAGTTTTGTTATTGGTAATATTTCGACCAAAATTACTGCCCGTGTTCACACCACTGTTGGAATTGTTTTATTCACACATTCATGATATGTACTCACACCGTTCATTATTATTATTTTGCTTATTCATAATTTTTTGTATATAGAATTATATTCCAAGTTGTCGATAGTTGTACTGAATCATCCTTGTTACATGTATCCGATGTGAATTTACTGAATACCGATTCTGTTATGAGTCTTTCTTTCTATTTGTTCCTGTTAGTTTTTCAAATACACATATTGTTCCAATCGATATTGTGGTTTTTGTCCCATGCATGTGCAGCTATCAATGAATTTTTTCAAGATTCTTGGAAGCTTGTGTTCCTTTTGGTTGACCTTTGGTTAGGCGTTTATGTTCATTCACTCTTATTTTGCCCCACATATTCAGTCAGTACAAGATATTTTATAAATCAAATTGCTTTTATCTGTCACTTTTATGGGATCTTTCAGTTGATTTATTTTATTTTTGATTAGATTCGTCGGTTTAAACGTTGTTTGAATGTGGATATTTTTGAGGTTACTTTGAATTACCTCTGATGTACTATTTTATATGGTATTATGACTGTCTTTTTCCATTCCTCCATCTTGTTATTTTCTGGTTTTACCCCCTTTTTTCTTTTTTGTATTATCTTTCATAAATTTTTTTGTTTAGTTGTTTTTGAGTAATGTTTTGAATAGGACTTTTATTTCTTTACACTGATCCTCTGGTGTTGTTGTAAATCTACGTATTCTATCTGCAAGACCGTGTATTAATCCTGATTTTACCGTGAGTGGATGAGCTGAGTGATAATCAAGGAATCTTCCAGAATGTGTGGTTTTTCTATATAGCGTCGTTTTTATGCTACAATATATCATTCTTTGTATTTTGCAGTCTAACATCGGCAGTTCCCTGATTATGTAAATGTGTGAGAACAGTTTCTCAATATCGTTTTTTTCACAATTACTAGTGTGTCACCTACATATCTCCACCAACATTTTAGTGGTGATCTGAATGGTTTAAGGGCATTCTTTTCCCAGTAATCCATGAATATGTTACCTATTATTGGTGAGATAGGCGATCCCATAGCTACTCCTTCATTTTGTTGGTATGTTTTCCTTTCGAATGTGAAATATGTTGTTGTGAGACAGAATTCTACCCTTTTTATTATTTCTTCTACGGATAATTTTGTTTTGTCTTTTAGGCCATTATCTTCTTTTAGTTTCTCTTTATGTTTTCTCGTTACTCTAAAAGTGCCTGGGTAGTTTAATTTTACGACCAAGGTTTCATTTTTCTAAAAATATCTCCACTCTCCATTTTTCAATATTTTATCCAAACTTCTTACGTCAACTTCCTACCTCTAATCCATGACTCTGAACTGTGAACAATTTAACCTATATTGTGATCATTCAAGCTTTGTTACCTTCTCTATAAATGTGTGATACCAAATGTTGGTTTGCAGTGATTCAACAGTTACTGGCTTGTGACAATCATGAGTGGTTGCGCTAAACATAAATCATGAATTGGTATAAGTTGGAATTCATAGGTAGTTGGGTCGCGTACCCGTGATTGAGTGATATACGAGCTCATCTTGTAGCCGGAAGGTCCCTGATTGGAACCTCGGTAGGTGCGTAGTGATGAACAGTCCCAAACTATGAAGGAAAAACTATCAAGTACTTCTTGGTGGTTTCCTAATCATTCTCTAACTGATGTCAACCTGTGTTCATACCACTAACCACTAGTCACATCCAAACCAACCAAAACTTCATACCATATTTAGCAGGGTTTATGTGTAAAGAGAAAAATCTCAGGGAAGAGCAAATGAATCCGCTTTTTAATCTGTAAATAGAGAGTAAATTGTAATTATCATTATTATTACACATATATGCACATGTACGAAAGCGAACACTTTCCAAGCGCTTCTCTGAACATTATCCGGCATGGTTAGCAGAAGGTAAATGCAAGACAGTTACTAAACCAATTCTTGAGCACTAGGTGAACTCAAGCTACGTAGCTCCACCAGAGTCGTCTTTCAAGGTCACCTACGAGATGAGACCAAATGGTACAAATAGGTATCAGGTTTCGGCATTTGTGTATGGCGGAGGCGTTGGCAATTCGTCAATACAACCGAGAACTCTGATTAAAGAATAAGTGTGTCCAGTCTCTTATTCTACCATGGTCTAAACAGCTCACTGTGAAAAATTTTATTTTTTATTTCCTAATTTTAAATTTTACTTTTAGTTTGCTTTTACTTTAATAATCAGTTCACTATTATCCCTCTCATATGTCCCTTTTGTGTATTTTCTCACCCTCTTAACACACTTGCTAAATAGACACTCAACTGCCTTTCCTCTCACTTGATAACTATTTTAATCTTATCAGATTCTTAACCCTTTCTTCCTGTGTACCGCTGAGTACTACGTAATTTACAACTTTTAGTTTTTACCTCCAAATCCACTTCTGAGTAATTATATCAATTACATCACCTGCTTTTACTCAACAATGGACTGCTACACCCTTTTGATAAATATGAATACGACTGAACAGCCTCTGAAGATAATTTTGTCGGTAAAGAAAATTTTCTTCACCGAATTGTCGTTTTATTTTCGGTATACATTATTCTTCTGTTAACTTCCAAATTTCTTTTGGTCTTATTGCTTTTACTATTTCATGAATCCATTCATTTCCTAAAGGAGGTAAATTGTTGCAGTAAGTAAAACGCTATATATTCCGTTAGGTATGAAAAACTATTCCATGGAATGAAGTGATTAAAATTATTATTACTTGTTAGGTTAGTTCAACTCTTTATCCCACTGTTTTTTTCATGAGTGTGCCAGTAGTACAGTGGTAGACTGTTAACCAAGCATACAAATACATGTGGCACGACTTTGATTCCCAGCTCAAGCACTCTTTGCATAGAACTATATACTACTGATTAGTTGAAATGAGTAGTTGCATACCACATGAATATATGACAAGGCAGAAGAAGCGTCAAAGATATGACTTCAAGTGAAGAGATGATGAAGATTCCTGGCCAACAGCAACAGCAACAAAAACAGATAATATTCATTATTAATGGGAGAAATCAAAAAGAAGCAGCCTTATTTACCTAGCCACCTACCTACCTGAGAAGCATCATTTCTACTACAGGCGGACGGAACTGATGAGGATGTCATCAAAGCGACGACTGGAAAAGCAAAACAAGCTTTCATTTCTCTCAAGTCTGTATGGGGGTGGTCAACAAGACTCATCAGCAACTCCAATGTGAAGTCAGTTCTACTATACGCATCAGAGACTTGACGCCGCGTCATGAAGATCACTTCGAACAAACTACAGACCTTCATCAATAGCTGTCTTCGCTTAACGCTACTCAAGATCAGATGGCCGGCCGGAAAAGATCGGCAAAAGGGATCTATGGGACTAACCAAGCAACCCAACAGGAGCCAATCGTGCAAGAAATATTCAAGAAGAAATGCAGGTGAATTGTTCATACTCTGAGAAAATCATCAAGGGACATCACACGCTCAAGTGGAACCCGAATGGGAAGCGGTGAGTTGGTCCTCAGTGCGAAGATGAGATGGATGAGGTCATGCAATGAGGTGATGAAAGCATGTGGAGGGACGCGAAGCCAGGTGAAAACTTTGATGGAGAATCGAAAGCAATGGAGATGTGCAGCTGAAGACCTATGTTCCTATAGGAATTAAAGATAATAAATCACATTCACAGTTTACAAATAATTTAGAAATTAACATGAAACGAGTACCAGGGATAAGATTTTCACCACAGTTCCCTTACGAAAGCAAATTATTCAGAGCTCAGTTGGTCAGCCGCATGATACCATAAACCAGATTGCTAATTAATTTGCAGTCTGTAAAGTTGATCACTTTCGGTCTGGCTAGCAAGCACTACTGACTTGTATTAATGGTATCCAGCACTGATAGACACAAGATTATTGCTGAAAGTCTGAATCTTGTCCTTCATGCCAAATGCAATGGATTTTCTCACTAATTCCAGAATCTATCACCTGCAATTGACAGGATATTGCTTAGATAACCGAAGGAAGTGACCTCTTTCAAGTTTCTTTCACTAATATTGGTTAAAGCTTGTTGCTGTTGGTTTTTGATTATCTTCATCGCCACCGTTTTCTCTATGTTCACTTGTTAGATTACAATTCAGAAGTTGAATGGTTATGAAGACTGTCTCGTTGCCTAAATATCTCAGTGCCGTTACCAGGTTGGTTCATAGGTGTCCCAAAATGAAAACATGTCTTATATATTCAGGGTTATTTTAATTTTTTTTCTACTGGATAACAGTTTCTTATTTAAGTTAACATCTAAATTTTCTTAAGTTAAAAATTGACAAATTCATTATAATGTTATAAATCATAGTTTTTGCGTTTTTAATTGTTGCGAACTTCTGCATCAATAACTCTGTGGTTATAGTAGATGGTTTTATCCATTTCAGGGATTATCTTGAAGACAAAAAGTTCCTATTCTTTATTCACTCTCAGATACATGGCCATATACGACTCGTAATGCTGATGTATTTAGTTTATTAAGGTGGAACCGTTAATTAATGACTAATCGAAGATGGAAGTTACATATTTCTTTTCTCTAATTTGTCTTTTGTAAATTTTTTAATAAAAATTTTTAAAGATAATTACAATTATAATAATCATTGTTATTACTTCTATTAGTGCCTCTTCATATCAATTATCCTACTAAGTCACATTAAAAATTAATGAGTATTTCATAGGGTACATACCCCTTGAAGAACATAACTCATGTATGAAAGTATCCCCTTCACTCGATAACTTATGAAAAATAGCATTACTCTAAACTATAGTAACTCAACAATGAGTTTGACAAACCATTCAGGTGGACCTATGTTAAATACTCGAAAATATGGAAACAGTACACGAATAAC